GTTGGACCTGTCCTTCCAAGGGATTGGCAGTGGCACCCAAGCACCTCTCCTTCTGTCTGTCTCATTTCCTTATGTCCTTCCTTCCTCTCCTATAATTCAGGCTTTTTCCACCCTACCCAGTTTTGTCTAAACTCCTTAGACTGGCATTGAAGACCTTTCATGTCTGGTCTCAATCTGCCTTTCCTTTTTCTTCTTATACTGCCTTTGCATGTTTCTTACATTATGGCCAAACTGGACTCCATACCAAATATACTCTTCTTTTTCCTCCTCCAAGTATCTTCCCATGCTGTTCCTTATTCCTAAAATGCCCTTCTCTCATCTCCAATTCTCAGAATCCAATAGCCATCTTTGATGAAGCTTCCCTGATTTCTCCCATCATCCCTCCCCTGCCTCCCCCACACATTTTGCCTTTCTCGGAGTTGCTGTAACAATTCAGTTGTATTTCTCTGACATTGCACCTAGAGTAATGTATGTTCTTCTCTTATTTCCCTCTTAGAATATTAAGTTCCTCGAGGTCAGGAACTATATCTTAATCACCTTTATATCCCTCAAGCACTGCACCTTACACAGAGTATAGGTGGAGCCAACATTTGTTAGATTGGATATGTTAGAATTCAAGCATCCTTCCACCAAGTTGTAGAATTTCTTCCTTTGGGGAAGGACCCCTCCCATTATCCAACTATTCATCTTTTACTTGTGGGTCTTCAGAGAGATGACTGTTTTGCCCTAAGACAAGGAATAGAGAAAAATGCAAAACAGGTCTTAGAGCTAATCAATTGGAGATGGGATCTAGGTCCTGACTTTGAGTGACTACTCCATTTCATTGACTTATCCCACCCCCTACTTCACTCCCCCAGTTTAGGAGTTGATCATCTCAAAGTGGCAAAACATCCCAATCAAACAACCTTCTCCACAATGAGGTTGAGGTGGCCCAACCAGTTCCTGGTGTAATAGGGAGGTGCTGGAACATGGACTAGTGCTACCAGGACAAAGCAAGATCTTATTTAAGAGTGGGCCTCTTTACCCAACCTGATGCAATGCACACAGGTGGCAGGCCTCGAGTGGGAGGGATACAGTCATTCATGAACAATCTTTATGAACCCCAGAAGCACTTCAGTTCAATTATCATGCTGCCCCACAGCCCAATCCCTGACACCTATCCCTCTTTAGCCTTAGGAAGCCTCCTGTTTTTATAGAGCTACCTGAGTAGACAATGCTTAAGGGACACTCACTAAGCACAGATGACCTGTGACAGTGGATGCAATGTACAGTTGGTGCTACTGGAGGGGACAGGTGAAAAAATGACTGCAGTGGGTGGAACACCTCCCCAAAAAGTTTTCTGGAGGACACAAGTTTATATGTGTAATGAATTCTTACTAATTAATTAACAGTGACCGAAGGAGCTCATTAAGCACCATTCTGTCAGCATAAAGTCAACTCCAGGAGTAAAAGGAATGAAAAATCAACAAAAGAACTGCTATTGTAAAATCAGCTCTACTTAGATATGCTAATGTAGGAACACTTTGGCATCTAAAGCAACAGGTGATCCAAACACCTCCAAACGCCATTATCTATTTGGCTCTAGAGTTCTTTAGCAACAAATTGACTTCCCCATTTTCCTCTCCACCTAATACTAGTGCTACTAATAATAATGTTAGCCAATTTATTGATATCTTACTATGTGGCAGGCCTTGTGCCAAGTGCTCTAAATGCATGATCTCATTGAAATGTCACAGTGGTTCTGTGAGGTAGGCACTATAATTATCCAAATTCTTTAGGTAGGGAAACCATAGCATATAGAGATTAAGTAATTTACCCAAGGTCACACAGACAGTGTGGCAAGGCCCATGTTCAAACCCCGGGATTCCAGAGCCTCCACCTGTACTGGCTCTTTGCTATGCTATGGAGTAGTGTCCTAAAAAGGGCCTCGGCCAGCCCACATACCACCTTGTGTGAATTAGACCCATGCCCTACGACCTGGGGGGCAGGCTGCATTTGGTCCCCACTAGCCAACTTGACCAGAGGTCCTTTGTGGTATGCAGCCTGCACAGCCATAGGTGGCAGCTCTGAGCATACGTGTATTAATCTCAATAAATCAAACTGTAAACTCTTGGCAAAATGAAAACAGAGAACTAAGAGATTATGCCCCAGAATGAACCTGCAATTGCCTCAGTTTCCAGATGCCTCATATAGTATGAGCATCTTGCCACACCTAGCATGTATTTAATGATATTTCTAGTTTTGTTCTAATGTTTAAAGTTCCAGTGTTTAAAGATAGGTACTTTTTAATAATGTCTCTAAACACAAGCTAGCTACTTCATGTGCACAACCAAAGAAATTCTGTTCTTGTGCTGGAGAAAAAACTAGGTGTGCTAGACTTACGATTTGTTTCAATTTGGTACCTTCCTGTTGGCATTTTGGCTTACATGACTTATGCTGAAAGTGCTAACTAATGTCTCTCTCCAAGCTCCTTGACATTCCCCCATCTATTCTGCCTCAGTGAGTTTGTTTCCTGAATGTCCTGTGTCCAGTGATCGAGCAAATGGGGGGATTCTCACTGGGAGAGGGTCCCAGCAGTTCAGGTAGTGGCTGGCAGGGTTATGGGCGTGGGGTTTAGCATTGCTTTGGATACATCATGTCAGGTTAATGGTCAGGCAGAGCCACAGAGCTGGCTCTGCACCAACCCATTTCCAAGTCTGGTTTATCTCCTAGCCTCCTCTCTGAGCATACCAGTAAACCCCTGTTTTCCCATAGGCAAGCACCCACCCTCCCTCAGATATGCCAGAACTTGAGTGTGGGTAGAAGGTGAGGCCGAGCCCTGATTGCTACATTACAGACACACCTCGGAGTTGGGAGCTGGCCTCCTGGGTTCAGGGAACAAATGGGGGATTTGAAGGGACGCACACTGGAGCCTCGGGGCCTTGGTGAGCACCCAGGTGATAAGCCTTGGAGAGAAAGGGGGCCGGGGTAAGGGGTATTGGGGGACATCTCTGTCCCGTCCTTTTCTCCTTCTGCCAGTGTTATTATCATGCCCAAGAAAGCAGCCACTTTGCCCAGCAGGTCTAGTTTTTTCCTTTGCCACCCACCCTCTGCCCCTGTGTATCCTTTGCTTAAACTTCTTTCAGAAAGACTTCCTGGACTGATCCAACTTAATTCTGATCCCTCTAGTTCATAAATATTTATTGAGCAGCCACTTTGGCTCTTGGTGCTAGGGATTGAAGATGGACATGATACCAGTCCTGTGGAGCCTATTTCTGGTGGAGGAAACAGATCATAATCTAACAAAAAAATTAGGAAACCAGATAATGTCAAAGAATGACAAATTCTATGAGTAAGTTAAAATGATAGTGATCATGTATGTATGTAGCCTTGGCTAAGCTGGATTGGGGAAGGCCATGTGAATTTAGATCTAAAGCTCCAAACTTCTGAAAATCCCGGGATCCAGAGCCAGATAACAGCAGTGTTCCCCAAGGGCCTGTCCCAGCAGGTCCAAATGATACTGGAGAGGGAGGCCAGAGCCAGGTCACCCCAAACCATGCTGAGGAGTTGGGATTTAATTGTAGGGCTAATGAATTAGAGAATTCTGAGCAGGGGATCTTTCCTGGCTGTCATGAGAGAATGGATTATAGGGAAAATATGAAAGAACATAGGAAAGTTGCTTCAGAGGTCCAGACAGGAGAAAGGAGTGGCCTGCCCTTTTGTTAAAGTCTTTTACACAAGAGGGCCTTAGCCTGCTTCAGATGGTACTTTAAACTTTAAAGGGATGCTTTCAGCCATGTTGACCACCTCAGCTGCTCCCTCAATCCCTCAGGGACTGGCTCCAGCTGTTTCTGAAATCTCACCTACACTCCAGGAAGCTAGCTGTCAGTCAGCAGAAAGGGTTGAGTGTTGGCCCTGGGACAGCTGTGTTCTCCCCCCTGTGGCTGCAAGGAGGTACTGCAAGGCTATCCCTATACAATGGAAACCCAAGACAATTACAAAGCAGTAGCTCCAATTCAGGGACATAAGGGAGAAGAGGATGCAGAGCTAAGGAGTAGTCCTCCTCTCCCTTCCAGTCAGGTGGATTTGATCACGTCGGTTTCCTCAAGTCCATTGTGAGCATGGTTTCCTTCATTTACTCATCAACATTTGAGGCCGACCCTACCCTGTGCCAAACCCTGTGCTAAGCACTGAGGTTGGCGCAGTGACCAAGGAAGACAGGTCATGCCCTCAGAACACTTGCAGTCTCAGAGGGAGTCACTCAGGTTAGCAGAGTGTCTCGTGTCCTGCTTTTGCTTCCTGGTTCCTGCAGGATGTCAGAGGTGATGATGGGGGCTCCTTAATTTGACACACAGTGTGGCCTTGATGGGACTTTGCCTCTGAGACTCTAACTGGGGACTCTCCAGCCCTGTCTTCAGGGCTCCTGGGCTTATGATAAGCCTGGGTTCAGCCGTGCCCTCTGCCGGTCTCATCGGTACATTACTGGAGTAGAAGTGTTCTGCTGCCCCTCTGTGTCCTGGAGACACAGGGCTGCTCCGTGTGAGATTCTGGATATGAGCTGCTCCACCCCCTCCCCACCCCCATCTTCCTAAAATGTCAACCCAACGGTCCCCTCACCCACCCCTCGCTGCATTTAGAGGCCAAGGCATATTCTGCACCTACCCCTTGCTCTTGTTCCTGCCCTCTCCCTGACCCTCTGGGATTGGTCTTCTCTGAATTGGTTCTTTACTCCCACTTTCTGATTTGCAGGCTAGCAAAACATCCATGGCCACTTCAAGGGCAGTAAGCATGGTATTCAGATATAGGTTGGGCAAAGAACATTTTTTACAGATGGGGAAACTGAGGCCCAGTGAGGTCAGCTAGCTACTTCCTGTCAGGACTACCCAGGTCTTATCTCTCTCAGCCCACCATTTTGTATATCAGTCTCAGGAGGGATGCAGATTATCTGCCCCTAATTCAGTCTCCCATCTCCCTGATCCGGGCCATCAGTATAGTGTTAAAGAATAAAATTCACGAAAGTCTTAGAGAAAAAAAGATTCATGTTTTATTTCCACAGAGAAACTCAAAAGTGGGACGCTCCTCCTGAAAGATGGTCAGTGACTTCAGGTCACACATGGAGTAGGTAGAAAAAGTGGCTGGTTTATTTGATGAGGCTGGTGGTCAAGGAGGCGCCACATGCGTGGGAAGAAACAAAGGACAGGTCCCCAACCTAGAAAGAGCAGGTGTCAACACCCAGACCAGGGCTGGCCCAGAGGGAGAGCTGGGGGAGGGGCATGGCTGGGTTCCTCGATGACTGATGTTTCTCAGGGTCTCAGGCATTGTTGGGAGTAATTTTCTAGGAGAAAAGAGAAAATGGTAGAATGTGACCACTTCCAATCTTTTGAAACCAGACATCCTATCTTTTTGTGTTATTTCATTATTAAAATACTAGAAGCCCAGCACATGAAATTGTGCGGCCCTGCCCACCCACCAGCGCAGGTCTTTGGTCGTTTCAGTGTTAGGGCCACAGGCCTTTTATAATATAGATATTTATAGAACAAAATAGAAGTGTCCCTGCCCCTTCATTCCCCTCTTTGGGTGGGGGTAGGGGTGGGACACCGTTGTGAACAGGTTAGTGGCACCCAGAACTGAATGTCATATTCTTGCAGCAAGAGTGAGACTTCCTCTCTGAGCCTCAGTTTCTTCATCTGTAATATGTAAACAATTATAGCACCTTTTCCAGGAATTAATAGTATGGCACAAATAAAGGGCCAATCACAATGCCTGTCACATTTAAGTGTTTGCTAAGTGGTTGTTCTTTGTGTTTTTTTAATCTTTATTGTTGAAAGTCCCCTCCACTACAGATGCCCTTCTTTTTTTCTCATTGACCCCACCACCACCACCACCACACACCCATCCTTCCCAGGTCTTCCCTGCACTAGTGTCTGTGTCCATGGGCTATGCATATATGTAGTAAGTTCCCCAGTTAATCTCTCCCTATCCTCCATCCCCGCTTCCTTCTGAGATTCCATGTTTCTATGTCTCTGGGTCTATTTTGTTCATCAGTTTATTTTGTTCATTAGATTCCACATATGAGTGAGATCATGTGATACTTACCTTTCTCTGATTGGCTTATGAAACCAGGCATCCCTTCATTGAGCTTCTGCATTCCCACAGTTCCTTTGTGTCTTACCTATTTCACCTGCCATCCCCTCACTTTTGCTGTCCCCTAAAACAGGTTATGTGGTTCTGCCAAGTTAATCTATTACCTCTCCCCCACTGGGAACTCACTTCTTCCTCCTGCCTCTGACCCTTTACACCTGAAAGGCTCACCTCTCTGCAGTTGCCCTGCACAATTACTATCCCAGTCCCTCTCCTTAACCTAGTGTGCCATTCTTCTTCTCATATCTGTTCCTGCATGGTTTCCCCTCCAACAGGCCTTCACTCAGCACTCAGAGGTGCTTTCTGAGTAGATCATATCTTGTAAGTTTTTCTTCACACCCTCACATTGGACTCACCTTCTCAGTACCCTTAGAGGACCCACCCAGAGCAAAGCAAGTGCCATGATCCCAGCCCTGCCCCTGGACGATGGTGCCCCAGCTCCTGGATGAAGCTGAGCATGGCTCACTCTAATACTCACCTACCAGAACTTCAACCACTGCAGCAGGCCAGGTCGCGCCCGGGAAGCCTGTGGGACAGGGAGAATGTCTGAGTGGACATCGCACTTTCCCCTGCACAACCTCTGCCCTCAGACCCCTTTTCTCACAAGCCAATTTTCTTTGCCCCACTACTTACCGAAGAAGAAAGCGTGACTCCCCCCTGTAAAGAGATGATCAGAGTAGGTGATATGGGTGCTACAATGACCTCTCTGGACTCTGCCATGTTCCTGGTGCTCAGAAAGGGCTCAGTGGAAGGGGCAAGATCAAACCAATTTATCTCAAAGCTCCTTTGGGTCTGACTAGACATTCAGCCCATGGAAATTTTTTCACAGCACAATTTATCATCTTAAGTACACGTTACCCAAGATGATACTGAATGTGGTCCCTTAGCACACTCTGCCCACAGGAAGTGAATGAGAATAGGTAGGTCTCCCTCTGCCTGCAAGGCGGATGGAAATTAGCCACAAATAATTGGCAAAGTGGACACCCACAGGCAGTATGGACTGCCACTTCACCTGTCAGCAGAGAGTTTCTGATCTCTCGGTGGAAGGCCTCTCTGTGAGAACAGGGCTTGACTGTTCTGAGAGGGGGAGGGAAATACCACCTGTTTTTGCTTCACCAGCCCAATTAGTATTTAGCACATTTATTTACTGACTTTATAAGACTGCTTTCTTTGCAACTGAATGCAACAAAATTCTCAAATGTTCTTCCTTTTAGTTCTTTTTGGAATGAAGCATTTATTCCCACCAACCAAGAGTTCCTGGGCTAGCTTTGCCTATCCTCCTCCCCCTCTACCCGCACCACGCCCAGAAGGCCAGCAGTTGAAGAGGTAGAGAGTGGATGCTACGAAGGAAGGTGGCTTGTTCTGCCATGTTTCATGTGATTTTTCTAAGGAGCATGTACTGGTATTTCTCTTCGAGAGGATAGTGGTTCCCAGTTTTCTCCATGATGTAGCCACTGATCCCTTGTAACCTTTTCTGAATGTGGGTGCAGTGAGTCTTGAACCTTCTTCCTTTCTCTAAGAGCAGTTTGGAAATGCAAGATAGAAGGTGTGGAAAGAGATGACTTTCAGAGTGAACAGGATTTGGCCTCAGCTAACCCCCATAGAAGACCCTGGCAGCAAAAGCCTCCCTCCCTCACCTCCATGCAGAGACCCCAGTGGGAAAACAGGGCAGTTGCAAGTCTTACCTTAGCGGGGACCTTGGCGGAGTACTGCCCACCAGAGACAGTAGGATATGCCTGCTGGTTATAATTGTAGTTCTGCGGAAGAAAGCAAGGGTGGTGGGTAGTTGCGGGGGGGCGGGGTGGAGGACAGCACAGAAGGGATGAAACCATTTTTTCTCTGGAATAAACACCCAACTTCCCTGCCCTGGCTGGACCTTTCTCAAAGCCCCTGCCTTCTCCCCCTCCTGGTGTCAGGTGTTTTCTTTTCCAGAATCCCCTTCAGCCATCCAAGCTCACACGCTCACCTCCTATGGTCCCAGCCCAAATGGCTCTGCCTTCTTCCCTCTCCCAATTCAAGTGTTACTTGGGAGGTGAGGAAAAAAGACCAAGGAAAGAAGTGAGGTCTAAATCAGATGGTCGTGTGGCAGATATCTTACCTTAGAAGTTACTGCTGGTACCTCTGGCCATCCTGCACCAGGCTGAGAAAATTACAGAACAGAGGAGTGAAGGAGGAGAATATGATGTTGGCCAGACTGAGGAACAAGACTGAGAGAGGCTGAGGACCTCCAAGGTCAGTCTGAGGGCAGAGACTTACCTGACCAGCACTGCCTGCCCTCTTCTGAAGTGATGATGATGAATAGTTACCCTGCAAGAAAGGGGGCCACAGTTAGAGTGTCTCCACGGTCCTCAGGCCTTGCCAGACTTGTGGGACTCCAACATCCTGCTGCCTGGGTGCTGCCCTCCTTCTGGAGCACCCGCATCCCACCTACCCCGCCCCGTCCCTCTCAGTGGCCCATGAGTGCTGTCCACAGAGAGGGCAGTGAGCCTGGAGGAAACTGATGGTCCAGATAGATACAGATGATAGTTTCCACACTCAGTGCTGGGAAGTGAGGGTAGCAAACTGGGTTTAGCAACACCATCCCCACCCAGGCACCTGGAATGTTGGCAGGCTGGCCTGAGACTGAGCTAGAATGACAAATGTGTGGTGCCCACACAGGCTCCCATGAGAGCAGAACCCAGGCCCTAAGCCCCAGCCCACATTTTGCTGATGCCAAACCCTGCTCCCCGCATAGGCCCTTTTATCCCTGTTCACAATGTTGTTTGTGAGGCAAAGTGGAGTGTATAACGTTAGCTTTGGGTCAAAGAGAAAGAAAGGGGAGAAATACAAGGACATAGATGAAGGTACTTAAGACACTGCAGATGCACTACCCTCTCCCTCTCCCAGGTGAAGCAGGGGAAATTCCTAAGCAGTGGGAGAGAAGTTCAGTTCCTTCCATCAGCACTTCTCTACTAGGACACACCACCACCACCACACACACACACACACAGGGTTAGGGTGTCACACACACACACACACACACACACACACACAGGGTTAGGGTGCTCTTCTTAACTCTGACTTAACTCTCTACCTATCCTCACCTGACATTGAGTTTTAGCCCTAATACTGAGGTCACAAACTGGTTGATCACAGGCCTCCAGACATTTTTTACTTGGTTTGCATTTTTAAAATTGATTTAGTTATAAGCAATTCAATATCAGATTTCTAACTTTTCTTGAAGAATCAGGTGATGTGGTCACACTGGGACTACATGGGTACATGACAACACTCAGCTGGAAGGCCTTGGCCTCCTCCTTTGCATGGCCCCACCTGTCCGACTTCAGGTTCCTGGCCCATGTGTGAGTAAATGGGCAACTCTTGCCTCAGTGCCTAAGAGATCTGGTTCCTGAAAAGGCCACTGGCCATGCAGAACCGAGGTGTGGCTTTCTGGAGACCCAGAGTCCTGCCCGTCCTTCTCGGAACGCAGATATTCAGACCCTATGCACCTGCCTGCGGTTAACAATGACTTGATTCCCTCCCGCGCCCCCCCCCCACCCCATACCTACTGTTTCCCTTCAGCTTTCTTCCCTAGTTCCCCCCATTTCCGGTTCTGAGGTCCTTCCCTCTTCTCAACCTCCTGGTCCCCATCACCTGTTCACCCTGCAGTACCCACCCAGCTGTGGCTCCCCCCATGTCAGGCCAGGCCCAGCAGGAACAGCAGCAGAGACAGTGGCCAACTTCATGTGCCCGGGGCCTGTGAGGGCCCCCACCCTTGGCCTGGGCTTTTATCCTAAGGAGGACCTGCCATCCTGCTCTTTCTTCAGTGACTCACAGCTTCTCTCTCACACCCCACCCCCACTCAGCATTGCATAAAGGCAAGTGGGAAGGGAGGGAGGCACCCTCTCTCAGCAGAGAGAGTAAGGAACTGGCACAGAATCTGCAAGCCATTGTCAAGAACCCAGCACCCCACATCCCCAGAGCTGAGCTTCCTGACCCCAAAACAAGAGGTTCTGCCGCTCTTACCTCAATAATTTCTTTCCAGTTCAAAAAAGGAGTATTGTGTTTGAAATCCTGGAGGAAGAAGGAGAGATGAGTGGGCCACAGGGAGACAGAGGGTGGAGTGTGGCAGCTCATTGGGAAAGTTTCAAGACCACGCACAAGAATGGGTTTTGGAGCCCGGGTGTGGTTGGGGTTAGATGAAGATACACTTATTACAGGTGTTAGAATTTTTGAGGGTATTAGTGATAAGATTTGGATGAGGTTTCCCATCTCCAAAATAAACAGAGGGGGAATTTTGTGACAGGAGCTGGGGTTTGGCTGCCTTGAGGGAGATAGAGAGAGGGACAGGATGACCAGGGTCCCAGTTCTTCAAAAAGTGAGAATTCTCCTACCTCCCAGAGTCGACTGAAGTAGAGGAGGGCTCGAGTGCTGGGGGATGGGACTTGGCCCTGTGGATGAAAGGTGGGGAGCAGGTTAGCAGAGAGCCTGACCCCCTGATCATCTAAGCCCCTACTCCTGCTCCCACCATTTCTCGGTCTTCATAATTGCACTATGACCAAGATTTTGGGGGAAGCTGGGTGTCTTTAGGGACCAGAAAACTATTTTTGCAAGCAGAGGAAGAGAGAAGCTAGATCTCTGGAGCCATTAACCGTCCTTTCCGCCTCTAGCACACACAGAGTGTTCTTCTCTATCCCATTTCCCCTTCCTCTGGCTGAACATAACAGTAGCAAAACCTCAAGACTAAGAACTGCCCACAGAGCTTCCTGCCTTTTCACCTGCCATGCCACCTCCAGCCCATTTCCCAAAGTTGTGGGGCTTAAGTTACCCCTTCCTCCCCTCCCCCGGGATAACAGTTGAGACGTAAGAAAGGAGCAGACACCAGGAGTGTGGGGCAGCTAAGGTTTATTTCAAGGGCAAAGGTTGAGATTAGTGGTGAGTAGTGTTTTTTTAAGAAAGGGTGGGGGGCTCCCATCCATCTGGTAGCTCCTTGTCTGGAGGTCACGGGATGTGAAAGCTCCTCTCGTCCTGGGCAAAGAAATGGGTTCTAAGAGGGAGCTCGAGGAATAGGACTTCAGGGAGTAATGGAAAGTCAAGGTTATATTAGACCCCTGCTCCAGAAATCTGCAGGGACCTTTTTGAACCACGGCTGTCATCCAGTCAACCCCAGATATTCCAGCTTGGACTTGAAAACTCTCGTACCTTGCCAGGAATGTTATGTACGGCCCCCCTGTCTTCACTCCTCACTCTGTAGGAAGTCCTCAGCACCTCACCCGGCACTGTGAAGGAGCCAGAGCTCACCATTCTCTTCTCTGCCCATCTCTGTTCTGTCCCTCTTCTGAGATCTGTGCCTCTGGGAAGTCGCCCCAGATGAATCCTGCCTGACTGCAGGCACTCACTGTACTGTGCCCTCTAGATGTGCAAAACGCTTGGCTATCCGTCCTGGCCCTCTGGGAGGTGTCTGTGTGTGCCCGAAGGTCCCCATGCTCAGGGGTCTGGCTTCCCCAGTAAGGAGTTCACAGTAAGGAATCTTGCCCCACCAGAGATTGTGCTTCTAAACCAGAAACAGTCTATTTTGTTCATTTAGCTCATGCAAACCAAACTGTGCTGCATCTGGGAACATCTGTATCTTCTGTCTTCCACTCCCCCTTATCCCAAAGGGAAGGCTTTGGCTTTCCTGGGGTTTGGGCTGCCTCTTTGCTTCCCCCTATCAGTACCCCTTTTCCCCCACAAGTTTTGGAGGACAGGATCCTAATTTTCATTCTTTTAAGTTAAGGCTTAGAAACTCAACTGAACACGGCCAGTCAGGTGGCTAGAATGGCTGTGATGGGCAGGGGGAGTCTGACTGCTGGAGAGCAAGTCCCCATGGCAAGAAGCAGCTGCTACTCAGCTTTAGTTTATTGTAGTCCATGGAATGGGGCCTTGTGTTGACAAATTTTTCAATAGAAGTCAGAAATCCAAGTCATTTTGTGAAGTCTATACATTTTTAAACTTTGGCAACTGATTCATATTGTGTGTGTGTTTTAATATATCCAAAAAAATCACATAATTGGGCTGCCAGTTACAGTTTTTGCTTTTGGTATTTGTTCGGGTTATTTGTCTGCTCTCATCCTCTCCTTCCAGTCCACTCTCTCTACTATTCTGGTGTCATGTTAGCTTGGCCAGGGGTTTTCCTACAAGAGGAGGGGGTGAGCAGGGAGGAAGAAGAAAGGGCTCCAGGACTCCATGTGTCCCCTAATATTATGTAAGTACAGGGCACCCATTAGGCACTCAGTAAATGTTGGCTTTCTCCTTCCCTTCTCTCTCTGTGTCAGTCCTCATGTGGCCTTTTAGCTCCACCTGACTATTCAGTCCACCCTCCCACCCCGGCCTCTGCTACCTCTCCCATTAACCTCCAGGTCTCGGAGGGGAAACTGAGGTTTAGACCTGTGCAAGTCTGCATGTTAGGATATGAAAGAGGCCCATTCATTTCTCATCCTCAATACCCAACTGTTTGCAAAGTCTCCCTCTCTTCATATCTCAACTGTTCTTCCTCCTTGTTTTTGTTCTATTCCACCCTCCCACCCCGGCCTCTGCTACCTCTCCCATTAACCTCCAGGTCTCGGAGGGGAAACTGAGGTTTAGACCTGTGCAAGTCTGCATGTTAGGATATGAAAGAGGCCCATTCATTTCTCATCCTCAATACCCAACTGTTTGCAAAGTCTCCCTCTCTTCATATCTCAGCTGTTCTTCCTCCTTGTTTTTGTTCTTTTTTTTTTTTTGTTTTGTTTTGTTTTGTTTTTTTTAGCACTAGCCAAAATGCTCTTCATGGCCATCATCATTATTTCACCTGGCTCAGAGGTTTAGCTTTCTTCTCTATATTCCTCTCCCACAAAGATCATATGACATGGCCTTCCAGCCCTTACCTTGTTTATGGCATCCCAGTTAATGAAACCCAGCTTGGCTTTAAAGTTCTGCAGAGAAGAGAAAAAAGAAAAAAGGAGACTGGTCAAATTGGATCATAATAATGTAATTGGCTTGGAGCCTCGGGACAAGAGAGGTCAAGGACCACCACTGACAGTAGTTATAGAAAGAGGACTTCATCCTGTGAGGTCAATGGGACAGGATTTTGGCTTTCCAAAAGAGAATGAGTGAGCAGAGCAGTCTTGCTGAACTCACCTTCCAGAAAGTGTCGAAGTTGAAGGGCCCAGAAGTCTGAGAGTTCTAAGGAACCAATGAGAAATGGGATGAGAATAAGAACACACTTCGTGAGCAAGAGGCAGGGGCAGGAGCTATGGATGTCTGGAGGGTCCTGGCTTAAGGTGGGGTGATGCCTCCACTCACCAAGTTATCGATTCCACCGACAGCTTCACCTCCCCCACTGGACCCTTGCCCCTGGGTGGGGAAAGGGGACTGATGTTCAAGGCTCATGCATCTTGTTATGCATACCACCCATCAGCCTGCTCCTGGCCCACTCATCTTTGCCTTTGCTCAAGCACCATGAACCCTCTGTAAAGTCACCTCTCTTCTTTACACAGCACCTAAGAACCCCACCTCCAGAAAGCCTTCCTGGAATGACTCATTATTTGCTGCCTAGCATAACCCTACCCACTTCCTAATATATAGCCTCACTGTGCGCCAAGCACTATGCCTTATCCTGCCATGTCCTTTGTGGAGATGTCTCCATTTGACAGATGAGGAAACTGACACTCAGAGCTGTGCAGAGCTTGCCTCGGATCTATCTCCATGCCAGAGTTCAGTGTCTGGATCCTGAGCCCCCTTGGTCAGGATATGATGCAGAAAGCTCTGCAGTAGCTGTGGGGGTGAAAAAGTTGGGCTTCACAGTGCCCATTTTATCCAAGAGGAAGGCCAGACTCACAGAGGTCAACTGACTTGCCTGATCACAGATGACAAGTGATCTCCCATTTCTAACTCAAAGTTCACTGCCTTTATGCTTCTCCACACTGCCTTCTAAGTATGATTTTTAAAATCCCCCTTAGCTAGCCATTCTTCTGTTATTTTAATCTGTTTTTTTTCCCTCACAGAGGTAATAGGATTGTGATTGTAGTTGTAAAAGGGAGAGAATGGGTGAATCAAGAATGACAGGGATCCTGGACCCCTGTTGATCTCCTGGTAGTCACCTGACAGATTCAGAGAAGCTGGCAAGAAGAAACTGATATTTCTCTTTCTTTTCCAAAGCCCTTTGCATTCTATCCCCACACTCCACCATCCCTTCTCCTAAAGACATCCCTGCTCACCTGATAATTGCCTTGGGAGTCCCCAAGGAGGCGACTACCTTCCCTGCTTATTCCCTGAGGAGAGAGAAAATGGAGAGTTGGCGGGGAGGCAGGCAGGATGAGAGGTGAGAAGTAGGTGAAGGATTCCTGAATCGGGGGACTGAGGCAGGAGCAGGGCCGAGTCCTTCCCAGGACCCCAAGAGAGGCCCTTCTCTCTGGGTAGCTCTATCTTTCCTGGCAAATCTTGTTTCACCCCCTTGTGGATAGGGCTACTTCTCACTTAGGATGCTCATTGGTACCATCACCATCTGTTTCTATTCAGTCTGCAAGCTGTCCACAGTTCAGTGGGAATAGCCTTTGCCACCAAGTAGGAACCCGCCAGGCTGCTGTACTAAATTAATTCAAAATGCAGGCTGGGCTGATGTTTTGCTTTAGTCAGAAAGGTGATGCCTGCTGGAAGAGTCCCTGGGAGATGAGGCGGCACAGAAGTCAACTGCTAGTCTCCTCCTATGGCAGAGGTCAGCACCTTTTGAGTTCTGCTTTCACTGTTTGGTATGGATCCCAGACCCATCGGCACCTCTTCATTCCCAGAGCTAAAATCTAGACCAGGCTGGGAGGTGGGATTGTCTGTCCTGTTAGTATTGCCGCTGCCACAGTCCCTACTCTCCTCACCCTGATGTCGCCAAGCCGCTGGGGCCTCTGAAGCCCTGAGGGACAAGACAGTGAGACACAGGTCATTGTTTTACCAGGTCCATCCCTGCAAATTCATGTATGATTTAATATGATTCCTCTTAAAATCCTAATGGAAATCTCTTTGGAACTTGTCAAAATCATCTTGAAGTTCATTTGGAAGAATAGATGCCTAACAATTGGTAAGAAAACACTGAAAAAGATGAGCAGCAAATGGACTTGTACTGGCAGATATTAATGTACTATAAAGCTACCATGAATAAAACTGTAGTTCCTGTCCCAGAACAGATCTATCGATTAATAGAACCCCCAGAAGCTCTCCCCAAATATTAAGGTATATATACATGATGTTTTAAATCAGTGGTAGAAATGATTCAATACAGGGCTGGGAATACCAGTTATGTTTTTTGGGGAAAAACTTATTTATACCTCACAGTTTCCTCCCTTTTGTTTTTATCTGATTGTCTCCTACGGCAGCTCACAGATCTGATTCAAAGTGTAGGGCCTGCCTAGTTGGATCCAGGAGTGGACTAGACAGAATACACCAGAATACCGCCCAGGTGGATTAAAGAGTTAAATTTAACAATGAAATTATAGAAGTGTTAGTAATGCTAGAAGAAAATAAAGACCTTTATTTTCAAGAGCAGACACCATAGAAAAACAGACTTTGGTATGTAAAAAACTAGAAATAGAGTAACAAACTGGGAGACGTTTTCTTGAAACCTGTCTACCCATAAAAGGTTACTATCCCCAATATTTTAGGAGCTCTTCAGAGAGCCTTGTCAATGTAGCATCATAGGGTCATGCTCCTCGCCCTGCAGGAGACACACCAGGTGCTGCTGCTCTGCACCAGCCTCCCCCAGAGCTTGTTAGAAGCCAGGATCTTGGCAACACCCCAGAGCTGAATCAGAACCCGCATTTTCACAAGACCTCTGGGCCATTCGTGGGCACCTTGGTGTAGCACTTCCTCTGTCAGTGCTCCAGGTTCTGACCGGAAAGCCCAAATTTCCAGAATAACTAGGAGGGGGATGCATGCAAACCAATGTCAAAGGAGTTAGCAAATTGTGTTCACTAGCCAGGCATAGGACAATTGAAACATTTATGTTTCTAAAAGGACTGGTCTTCAGGTGACTTTCACAGCCCTGTCTGTGGGGGTATGTCCCATAAGGATTTGCAATGAATTATTCCTTTAGAGATTATTGGTAATTTTATGTGCTTGGTCTCTGCCCCTAAATTGTAATTGAAGATTAGCATTAGGAGTGGAGAGCAGAGCTGGGTTACAAGGAGTGGCACTGCGGCAGTGATGAACTGCGGTAACCACAAGTTTGGCTCTCACCTGACCCCCAGATCCTCCGGACACTCGGACTCCATTTCCTGGGTTGTCACACTGTGGGTGAGAGAGAGAGAAGACTTCCTCTCAGTCTTTACCTAGACGCCAATTCCAGCCCTCAAGTTGCAGTCTTTTAGCCCCGAGGTTCACGCACGTCAGCCCCACCCCAGCAGCGGTCCACCCCATTCTCAGCCCCAGCGGTCACTCTCCCACCATCCACGGGGCCTCCTCTTTTCCTTCCCACAGTTTCAGTTTCAGGGAGATCCATGCAGGTGCAAACCGTAGACACTCACCTCGGGTTTATGTCCACCACCACTTCCTCCGCTGTTTCCTGAGGAAGAGCTGCTACTGTGTTCCTACAAGGGAAAGCAAGAGTCCATCTGGTGTCTTCAAGGGACTTGGGAGGGACCAAATGATTCCCAGCCATGTTAACCCCCTCTGCCTGCCCCCCGTCTTCAGCCAGCCGTTCACTGAGGGAAGTGATGGGAGCACAGGGAAGACCAGGTGTGGCCAAGTGCATTTGGGAATGTGGGGTAATCCCACCACATGCCGGGGTGGGAGGCCTCTGGAGCCTAACTGCACAAAGGTCCCCTGACACCTGAGGGCAGGCTGGCCTCGTGCTGCCCTGCCCCGTCTCTCCTCTCCCCTGCCCTCTCCTGGAACCTAGAAAGGGGAAAGGGCCACTGGCAGGGAGCCTGATCAACATGCCTAGAATTTTCTAAGGGAAAATCAGATGGGGTAAAAGCCAGCAGAACAAAGAGCAGTAAATTAAAGCAGCTTATGTGATCTGGCTTGTTCTAGTTGCCTCCCTCCTCTTGCCGGACACCTTCCCCAGACTCCAAAGGAAGCCAGTAGTGTTCTCTCTCTTCAGGCCCCCTCCTGGAGATCCCTCCTAATCCAGCTGACAGGTTGTGGTCCCTTCCTGGTCCTTTCACCATCAGGGAGGGGCCTCGTGTGCAGCATCTGTGTTAGTTCGCCTGGACCACAGCCCTGTAGTGTCTTAAGTCTCCACGTGTGCAGGCTTGCCCCCATTCTCCCGGCCGGGAGCATCCCTAACAAGTATTATGTTGTTCCGTGCCCACCTCTCTTCTTCCACTCTTCACCCCCCGCGGTAGTCAGATTTCCAAGTGGCCACAACGGCAGGAATAGGGGTTAGACAGGAGAGAGAAGATCCCCACCCTCATGGAGCAGAGATAAGGGACAGAGTGAGCAGAAGTAGGGAGGGCACCTCTTCTGCAAGCCTGCTTGGTGGGGCTGGGAAGGTGGGAAACAAAGGGAAGGAGCCACAGGATGACACTGCCAGTGACGCCACCCACCCCAGGGCTGGCAGCGTTCAGAAAGGCCTTGGAGCGCATCTCCTCGACCGGGACCTCCACGGGCCTCAGCCTCATCTCTGCCTTTCAGCATAGGAGCAGAACTCACCCAGTTGCCCCCAGAACTGCTGCCGCTGCTGCCACCGCCGCTGTTGCCGTAGCTGCTACCGCCACTGCTGCCACTGCTGCCACCGCCGCTGCTGCCACTGCTGCCACCGCCGCTGCTGCCACTGCTGCCACCGCCGCTGCTGCCACTGCTGCCACCGCCGCTGCTGCCACTGCTGCCACCGCCGCTGCTGCCACTGCTGCCACCGCCGCTGCTGCCACTGCTGCCACCGCCGCTGCTGCCACTGCTGCCACCGCCGCTGCTGCCACTGCTGCCACCGCCGCTGCTGCCACTGCTGCCACCGCCGCTGCTGCCACTGCTGCCACCGCCGCTGCTGCCACTGCTGCCACCGCCGCTGCTGCCACTGCTGCCACCGCCGCTGCTGCCACTGCTGCCACCGCCGCTGCTGCCACTGCTGCCACCGCCGCTGCTGCCACCGCCACTGCTGCCGCCACTGCTTCCCTGAGGGACCAGAGCGAGGACTAAAGGTGAGAACACCAAGATTGCTTCCCTCCATTCCCTTGCTCTCTTGCTCGGGCATATTCCTGCCCAGTCTGAGGAAAGAGAGTTCTGTTTTCTCCCTGTGCCCGATGCTTCGGGTGCCCCGCCTCTTACCCAAGAGTTGCTAGAGCTTCCACCTGAGCCAGAGGGCGGAGGGTTGGTGCACTGCAGAAGAAATGGGACAGGTGCGTTGTGAGGTTTCAGTTAGGGCCGTCGCCACGCCAGGCTCTCCTTCCTCACGTGGCTCGGCTTTCTTTCCCAACGTGTTCCTCCCCCACCCATCGCACTGACATCCCGCTCTCCCTTGCCTCCTCTCCACGCTCATCTCTCCCTGGCCAATCTGCCTCCCCATCTTTTTTTCCTCTTTGTCTCTCCTACTTTCTGTCACAGGCACCCAGACACCCTCTTCTGGCCCCGACTCTTCCTCTTACCTCCGTATTTGGGTTGCTGTTGCCCCTCACTGAGCCATAACCAGGTTGGGCCACAGCTCCCTGCAGGGAGGATGAGACTAAGTATGAGAGTGTGGGCCTGAAGGGGTGAAGGTACAGGATCAGGGCTGGGTGCTTACTTTACCTGAGTGTTGGGCCCCAAGTTGTATGGCCCTCCATTGCCTCCTTGACCCCAGGAGTTTCCCTGAGAGTTGGTTCCGAAGCTGCCACCTGAGCCTCCAGCGTGTCCATGGATCCAGGGATTGCCTGGACCTTCGGGATTGCCCTGGCTGTGGGCTCCGAGGCTACCCTGAGAGCCAAAGGTGCCGTGGCCTCCAGATGGAGGCTGGCCATTGGTTCCCTGCAAGGACAACATGCGAGCACTTAGTGTGTGTGACCTTATCGCTCATGATGGGGCAAGGCAGGCAGAGCAACTAAGATAGAGAGGAGCCAGAGCAGGGCATAAGGAGAGGCAGGGAGAGACCCCAAGGTGGTAGAGAAAGGATGCATAGCATGGACGGAAACTGCCCCAGACGGCCACTAGTAAGACTCCTTCACCTTTCCATTGATTCCCAAGATTCTCAACCCAGCTTCCTACAGTCTCCCGTTTCCACACCGAGCTTCCTTCCAGCCACTCACCCAAGCACCGTTGCTGCCAGGCATCCCCTGCCAGGAGCTGTGGGCAGCATCTATTCCATGTCGAATAATGTTCTCAGCCTGTCTGCCAGCCTCACTCCCAGTGTTTCCAAGAGCATGGGCTGCCTCTCCAGCCCCTTGGCCAATGGCCTCCCTGATTCCATGACTAATGGCATCTCCTGCCGCATGTCCAACGGCTTCCCCAAAACCTGCTTCAGCTCTTGCCCCTCCACTTAACAATGGGCCAGCCTCCCCACTGCCCAGGTACAGGGCCAGCAGGAGGCAGGCCAGGGACCCCTGTAACTTCATCTCTGCCTCACTCCTTCTCCCTCCTAAGTGTCTTTTTCCCACCCAAGTTTCCTTCTGTTGGCCCTTTCTCTTCTCTGTGCCGTGTACCCTCCTCTGTTCTCTTTTTCCTTCTGACTTCTTGTTCTCACTCCTTCTAGGTCTGCAGCCTCCTCTCTCCTTTCCCAGACTCCCCTGCCTTCCCAGAGGCCTCCTCCCTGCCACTACTCCTTATACTGCAGCTTGGGAGAAGGTGACAGGGCTGGGCAGCCCGGAGTCCCTCCTCCCAGTGACTCAGGGCCAGCCACTGATAGGGTAATGAGCTGTAATTGTGAGTCTGAAAGTCTGTGTTGAAACAGAGAGGGAGCCCATGCATCAGGGAGGGAGGGAGAAATGGAATGAGATGGCTGCAAAGTGTTTCAGTTTCCCAACCCCAGGAATTTGGGGCGCAGGGTGGGGATGGGGGCACCTGAGGAGATAGTCTGTTGGTGTCTCCTAGAGGTGGTAGGTGGAGGGAAATTACAGGCCGGGCCCTACCAGTGGGGCAAGGATACGAAACTCAGTGGGAAAGGGGACAGGTGAGTTAGGTGTCAGCTAGCCTAGGTCGGGGGGGCATCAGAATGGAGTCAGGTGACTTTCAGTTTCAATTAGCCTTTGCCTCTCCCATTTCTCTTCTCCCCCAGGCTGCCATCTAAAGGTGCCTGCCCTCACCCTCTTCCACAACTCCAAAGAGCCTGGGAGCTATGAGACTGGCCTCAGGTTTCAGTAGAGACCCCAGGCCTCCGGGAAGGAAGTGGCCACGACCCTGAGAGTGGTCATCAGGGTGTCTCAGTTAGCATCCTGGTGGCTCTTGGCTAAGAAAGCTGGGTGTGGAGCAGGGGAGCTGGGCGGGCCAGCCACCCCCAGGGAATGAGTGGGAGGGAAAGACCTTGGGAGGGAGCAGCTGACCCAAGCACCCATCCTGTTTACCTGTTACGGAAGGGACACGTGTGTGAGTTCATGGCCTCCTGGGAGGGCTAGGACTGCACCAGCTCACCCCACCCACCCCCAGCCTCCCCCCAGGGGCCAGGATGACTCTGGAACGGGAGGAGGGGTCAGCACAAGGGCAGGAACCCTATGTCAGCAGCATGATGCTCTGCGGGTCCCAGCTCAGGATGTGGAACTTGGTCAGGTCTCATCCCTGCTTAGCAAGCATGGCTGCCTCTGTACTCCCAGGAGTCCAGGCCCTCCCACTTGCCACTGCCTTGTATCACCACGACTCATAGCCCAGTTAGGAGGGGTCAGTTTCCATCGGCCTTTCTCAATGTCTCCCAGTCAGTCTCTCTCTCCACCCCAGCACCCACACCCCAACTTGTAACATTCAACACCTCTTACCATGTGAAAACAATCCCTGCCTGTCCTCAGCAGCTCCTACCTCCCTGTTACTCCATCTCTGACTCTTCAATGATGATAATAAATGTGGTGGTAATAATAATAATAATAATAATAATAATAATAATTGCAGCTCCAATCTATCAAGGGCTTTCTATGTGTCCAGCACTGGACTAAACACTTTAAGGCTCAGACAGCCCTGGAGATCAGTCTTATTATTACCCCATTTAGAGATGGAGAAGTTGGGGTTCAGAGAGGACATGTGAATGTGTGGTAGAGCAAAACCCAAGCCCAGCCTGCCCCTCTCCTAAGCCCTGATCCTCAGCATTTTCTGTCACCTCAGTATTTCAGACTTCCCCCTGCTTTTCAAAGCCCTCATTCTTCCCTGGATAAAATTGGTTTTGGTTTTGCCCTGGCATCTTGTGGGGGGAGGGGAGCAGGAGTAAATCTGAGGCCTCCAGAATTGGTGATGGAGACCCCAGTCCTGAGCCTGCTGCTTCCCACTGGCCGAGGACAGGACCTCGGCAGGCAGCAGAGTGCCCACTGACTCAGAGTCCTTGCCACACTTCCTTCGTGGGACACACCTTCACAATGGGATACGTCTGCCCTCTCCCTTCTTTATTGCTAAGACTTTTCTTTAAGCTAGCTTACTTTCTTAATTTTAAGAGAATATTTTATATTGCTGCTGGAAGTAGAAAGCCAGAATCACTTGCCCATAAATAGAAAGTACCAGAAAAACATAGAGAGAAGCAAACAATGGTATTGCATTATATATGGCTGCAGTTTCTGCATCCTCTTTATTAGCAAGTCTGAGAGGTGTTTTAAGGCGCACCAGCACAGAAACTGAGTCTTTCTCTTTAACAAATCAGAAAGCTTCAAAGAAAATGAGAAAAGTGTTTCTCACTGAGTGGTTCAGAGTGATCTAAAGCCATGTTCACAGACCACCTAAATTTTCCCCTACAACCAGCAGGTTCATGTTCTACCTTCTGAGAAAAACTGCCTCAGACATCTCTGTACCTGAGCAGTCACCTCAAATCAGTCTTAAGGCATAGTTATTATATACCCAACCCAATAGATGATGTGGTGCTTTCACATGCATGATCTCATTTAATCCTCACTATAACCTCAGGAAGGAAGTTATTCCCATTTTACAGATGAGGTAACTGAGGTCTAGAGTTTTAAACACATACACAGGATCATATGTGAAAAGATTATGGTAAAATGGAGTTGTCAGAATTTTACCCAAGTCTGTCAGACTCCAAACAGCTTTGACCCTACATCACCATGCCTCCCATGTTTTATATATGATAGCATCCACATAGCTGTCATGCCCGCATCATGTCCACGACCCTCTGATTTCATCTTTTCTCTCTCATTCACCACTTTATTCATTCAACAAGTATTTATTGAGTACCTACCCTGTGCCATGCCTGTTCTAGGCACGGAACAAGATCATCAAAATCTCTTTCCTTAGGGAGCTCACATTCATTGTGGGGGAGTTTGGACAATAAACCTCTCAGGTGGTGATGAACACTATGAAGGAAAACACAGTGGAGTGAGGGAATAGAGAAGACAGATAGGGTGGTCAGGAAAGGGCTCTTTGAGATGTCACCAATGAGCTGAAACCCATAGGAGGTGAGAAACTGAGCCAGGAGGATATCTGGGGATAGTGTATCCCAAGCAAGGAAATGGTCGTGCAGAGGCTTTGAGGCTGGAGCAGGGAGAATGGGAAGAGTTTAAATCAAAGAGGTAACCATTTTTTAAATTTAATTTATTGGGGTGACATTGGTTCATAAGATCATATAGGTTTCAAGTGTACATTTCTATGGTACATGATTTATATAATGCATTGTGTGCCCGCCACCCAAAGTCAAAGTATCTTCTGTCACCATATATTTGGCCCCCTTTACCTTTTACTACCCCCGCCCCCACCTCTTCCCTCTGGTAACCCCCATACTGTTGTCTGTATCTATGAGTTTCAGTTTTATATCCCACATAATGAGTGAAATCATATGGTTCTTAGCTTTTTGTGACTGACTTATTTTCCTTAGCATAATATTCTCAAGGTCCATCCATGTTGTCACAAATGTCAATATTTCATCTTTTTTATGGCTGAGTAGTACCACATCTTCTTTATCCAGTCCCCTATTGAAGGATACTTGGGTTTGTCTCCTTGTCTTGGCCACCATGAATAATGCTGCAATGAACATAGGGGTGCATATATCTTTGCAAATAAATGTTGTCAAGTTTTTCGGGTAGATACCCAAAAAGAGGGATTTTTGGGTCATGTGGTAACTCTGTTCTTGATTTTTTGAGGAACCACCAGACTGCTTTCCATAATGGTTATACCAGTTTACATTCCCACCAGCAGTGAATGAGGGTTCCCTTTTCTCCACAACCACTCCCACACTCATTATTACCTGTCTTGGTGATAATAGCCATTCTAACAGGCACAAGGTGGTATCTCATTGTAGTTTTGATTTTCATCTTCCTAATAGCTACTGACGTTGAGCATCTTTTTGTATATCTGTGGGGCATCTGTATGTCTTCTTGGGAGAGGTGTCTGTTCAAGTCCTCTGCCCATTTTTTAATTGGATTGCTTGTTTCGTGTTGAATGCGTTCTTTATATATTTTGTGAAAAAGTAACCATTGTGAAGACTTTGACTTTTATCTGACTGAGATGGAACCAGCTGAGGGCTTGGAACGGAGGAAGGCTGTGATCTGACTTGGGTGTGAACAGGGCTCCTCTGGGGAACAGACTGTTGTGGGGAGAGAGGAGTACAGAGATCAGGGAAGGGGCTTGAGGGGGCAGGTTTGGAGGTTGAACTCAAGTATAGAGAGGAGAGGAGGCCTTGGGTCTGGACAGTGTTTCTGCTCCCTCCTAGGGGGTCCTAGGCCTCAAACTAGCACCTACTGGCTCATCTCTTCCACAGTGTCTGTCCTGGAGTCTAGGTTGAAATTCTAGGTCCTCCACTTACTAGCCATCTGTATAGCAATTTTAATCATCTGTATAGCCATTTCCTTATCTGTAAGAGAGGTGAATGTGAGGGTTAAATGAGGTAATAATGCAAAGAGCATAGAGCAGTGCCCGGCACACAGGAGCACTCAATATATGTTGGGCGTGTTACCATTGTTGTTGTAATGCTTTCTTGACAGTTGTTTAATTTTGAGACATACACATTCACTTCCTGAAAGAGCCAAATATAGAAACTTATTTTTAAAGAGGACTTACTTTGAAGCAGCCCACTCCCCAAGGGTCCCAGGGAAGCATGCCACCTCACTAGCAGAGATCACCAGCAGGGAAGTGGTCTTGAAGAGAGCCCGCCATCACCACTTACTAGCTGGGTGGCCTCAGGCAACTCTCTCCCTTCCCTGAACCTCAACTTTATCATCTGTGAGGGGATAATCATGGTACCTGCCTCATGAGAGGTTGTGAGGCTGGAATGAATCATGTCTGTAAGTGCTTAGCATAGACATAGTAAGCACCCAATAAAGATGGCTGTCCAGTCCCGCCCAAACTCCTCTCCTTGTTCTTCCACATCTGCAGAAACTGGTACCTCCTGTCTTTGTTACTCCCCAGCCTGGCTCCACCTACCTGTCTCAGGTGCCTCATTCTTGCTCGCACTTATTCCAAGGCCTTTCCCAAGTCTGCTCAAGCCTTCCCTCTACCAGTTGCCAGCCATGTGTGCCTAGCCTGAACTTTCCTTTTAAACCTCTTAGTCTAGAGGGAAAATGGATATGAAATAAGTAAATACAGGGTGTCCCCCCAAAAAAAACATATATATTGAAACAGCTGATTGCTCAATTTTGAAAATGAAATATATTTTGATAAACATTGCCTTTTCTTTCCTTTTAAACCTCTTAGTCTAGAGGGAAAATGGAAATGAAATAAGTAAATACAGGGTGTCCCCCCCCCCAAAAAAAACATATATATTGAAACAGATGATTGCTCAATTTTGAAAATGAAATGTATTTTGATAAACATTGCCTTTATAATTATTCAAAGTTTGTGTACACATTTTGGGGGGACACCCTCTATATAACTACAAATTGTCATATGTGCTATGAAGAAAAAAATCAGTGTACCATGAGAAAGAATAACAAAGGTGGTCTTTTGTTCAGATTGTGTGGTCAAGGTAGCTGAGACCTAAAGAGTGAGGAGGAACTAAGATAGGGGACAAAAGGGACATGGAGGTTTTTACCTCTAATTCTCCTTCACCTTTTTCACCTATGCCCCCACCCCTCTCTCCTCTGGCAGCTATCAATTTGTCCTTTGTACCTATGTGTGTTTCTGTTTTGTTTGTTCATTTGTTTTGCTTTTTGGATTCCACATGTATTGAAGTCTTATGGTATTTGTTCTTCTCTGACTTATTTCACTTAGCATAATGCCCTCCAGGTCAGGTCTATTCATGGTGTTGCAAACGGTCAACTATACTTTAATTTAAAAGGGGGGAGCGTATAGAGAATATTCCTAGCAGAGTGAACAGCATGCAAGGCCTCGAGGCAAGAATGTGCCATGCTCCTTTTACTCTTCAAAACCAGCTGCGATCTTCTTTTCCAGAAGCCTCCCAGGGTTGACTCCCAGTACATAATGATTTATCCCATACCTCTGTGGCAAATATATTCAGCAAGAAAATGTGCATACAAATAAAACCAGTGCAAGTTTTTACTTTATGACAGGATGATTCCCTTGGGTATTCCCTTTTCAGAAGGGAGTCCTCCAGTCCATATGAAACAATGTCCAGCACAGAGTAGTCTTTCAGTAATGTGTGCTATGAATGAATGCTTCTCTTTTAAAAAATGCAGGAAATAGATGTCTGAAATTTACTTTGAAATGCATAAAAAATGTATTGATAGATGCCAAGATGGAGAGATGTGTGTGATTGATGGATGTGTGATAAAGCAAGCATAAAAAAAATGTTAGTGGTAAAATCTAAATAGTGGGTATGCAGGTGTCCACTCTAAAGTTCTTCATCTTTGTGCTAAATTAGAAATATTTTCAATATAAAGTGTCAGGAACATCACCTTTATCGTGCACACCCTCCCTGGTGTGTTATTTGTTCTTACTGCTGCATTGCCTTGCATTTGTTTTCATATTCTGTTTCTATGCCTTGTCTCCTCAGGAAGCCTGTAAATTACAAGGCAGAACACTGTCTCTTTTTTTTTTCTTTTGGTCCCACCATTGATGGAATTTTGATGCTGGAAGCCATGTTTATAGTCCTCTTCTGCAGGCAAGCATCCCTGCTTTGTAGAGGAGGAAATTAATGGCCCCTGTGGAGGCACAGGATCCTGATTGGGACGCAGGTCTCCCAGCAGGTTCTGGCAATAGGAAGGCCTGCTGCTTTCTCATGGGCTACCCAGGGCAAGTGCTCTGCCCCTCTGAGCCTCAGTTTCCTCACCCATACAATGGGGATCATAAGAGGACTTATGCCTTTGGGTTGGGGGAAGTTTAAATGGTTACAGAGCATGAGCACTCGTCACAGTAAGTGCTCAGTAGGTAGTAGCTCTCTGATGACTCCACAGGCTTTAGTCATCACAGATCTGAAAGCTGGGCCTCCTCCGTCACCATTCCTGCCTCTGTGAAGAAGCTCTCCCTCCTGCCATCAGTGTGCCTTTCCCCTGAACCTTTGGCCTTCCTCCCGGAGAGGGGACCTCCCAAATGCATGTCTATCCTCTCCCCTTATTCACCGATTCCCATAGCTACTGATGCCAAACAAGGGAAGACCTCTTTGTTTAGAATATCCCTTGTAGCTGTTAGGCTGTTTCTCCCTCCAAATTCTAGTCATGTTCTTAACCTGTGCAAGCCTCTACATGCTTCTCAATAAAATGGGGCAATAACAATACCTCTTACCTAACTGGTTGGGAGACTTCAGTGATGTCATGCATGTAAAGCACCCGTCAGGGAGCCTAGCAGGCCTAAACTGCATAATAAGTCCAAGTAATCATTGTTATTCCTTTGGCGCAACATCCCCTGAATGAGGATGCTGAGATGGCTTCTGCCATCTCCTCCCTGGTGTTTCCGCCCCCACTACTGGCCTGAAGTGGCTTTCCTTCATGATGCTCCTCCCAGTGCTGACCACGAACCTAGCACACTAATGGAACTCGGTTTGTCTCTCTAACCACCTTCTTAGATTTGATCAGCCTGAAATCTCCAGCTCAACCTGTCCTGTCCATCAGACCCCCAGCTCTCAGAATAGAAGCAAGAAGAGAAAAGACAAGCCTCCCCTCACATCCCTCCTTAGGAAGCATGTGGACCATAATGAGAGTATGTTGTGTCATATTTATTCACAAATCTCAGTACAGTTCCCTCAAGAGACTCCCGAAATCTACCCGCCCCCCATCCCTAGCTCCTCCAAGTCATTTCAGCTGATATGCCAACAGGAAAGCCAGTCTGCTCAGCAAGGCCAGTGCATCAGTTTAGGGAATGATGTTGGCGACGCTCTGGAAGAGAGAAGGAGATAGGGAGTGAATGCAGGGTATGCAGTCATAAGGACAGTGAGACCTTTGCCCTCATATCCTTTCCTAGAGAAATGAGAGGGAGACTGGCTACTTTGGCCCAGTAATTGCCTATGTTCTTGAGAATATCTTAAGGAAGGCAGCACCTAGATTGAGAAAGAACAGGGAGCCAGTACTCCAGGGCAGAGATGCCAAGAGGGGGGACTCTGTAAGAACTGAGAAGCCTTGTCTGCTTTGCCTCAGAGAATCCCCTGCCACCCCATAGCCCTGGAATAAGCAAGGTGTGCCTTTGGGTTCCAGGAGCAGTCTAAAGAGCTGTTACACACCCTTACCCTTCCGCCCAGCCTCAGGCAGCTGAGGTACTCAATCCAAAGAGTACAGCTAGGACTTTACTTTGGACGAGGATCCCATGGGAGTCTTTATTCAGGGAAAGGACAGAGCTACAGTTCCCACCACCCAGCATATTGCTGCAAGACAGCAGGGATGCATGGCAGGGGTGTTTACAGTAGGTTGAGGTAGGGAGGGAGTCACAGAGGAAATGATGAGGAGAGATGGTAGGCACATGGAGGGGATGGTTCCAGCCACTGCTCTCTCCCTGGCTCATAGATGCACATGTGCCACTGGAGGTCTTTTCTGCCAGCTTGTGTTTGCTTCAGTGGGAATGAAAAACGCCCAAGAGATAAAAGCAGGATGCAAAGGGTAAGGAGCAGGTGAAGAAAGGCACAAGCAGGGCTAGGAAATGGGTTGCATAGTCTCTGAAAGGCTGAGAGTCTGTCCACAGTGAAGTTGTCTATGAGCAGGCAATGGGAAGGGCAATGTACAAACATCTCCCAAGACGGAGAGCAGAAATCTAAAACCATGTGGGCACTTACCCTCCATAGAGCTGGAAAGTTGATGAAGGGCTTGTTGACCGAAGCCTGGAATTCAAGGACAAGAGGGTCAGTGCCCATCACCCACCCCAGCACCATCTCGGGAGGGCCTCCATTCCCCCACTTCCAAGTCTATGCTTGCTCGTGAGACTTACTCCAGATGTTAATGTTGTGGTTGCGCCCCCTCCGTGATGGCCGGTGGATCCGCCTGGGTGACCGCCCTGTTGACAAAGCCCAGACCATCATTACAACCCCTCAATCCTTGAGGGTCTCCCAAGTTCCTTTTCCCCAGTTACCTGCTGCCCCCTAGGGTGACTAACCCACTATCCCTCACTGTCCAAAAAGAAACCCAAAAGCCTTGTTGCTGTGGTAATTCTGTAAGAGATGGGAAGAAAAGCCAGTAAGGATGTCTGCCCCTACTGACTACTCTTCCCCCCATTCCCTTTTATTTTAGTTAATGAGATGCTTTCAGTCCCTGAGAAGTGGCCTGACTAGAAAGGGAACCCAGAAGACCCACACAAATACCAAGACCATAGTTAACCTCAGCCTTGACCTCAATTCTACCCCCTTTACACACACTTGAGCCTGATCCCTAACTCAGGTTGATCCCTATCTTCAATCCTAGCCCCAGATACTCAGCAGTGCCACTCTGCTGCTGCTGCCGGCCTGGAGCCGTATCACAAACCTCCCTCTCCTGGTCTCTACATGGTGAATCCTGCTGTCTGTCTCAGAGCCTACCATGCATGCTTTCCACATAGACCCTTCCTCCCCACCCACATCCCTGGCTCCCTGCCTGGAAGCCAATGTGGTTATAGGCTTTGAGGCCTGGGCCAGTCCCTCAAGATAGTATCCCAAAGCCTCCTCATGGAGATTACAGAGTGGAAAATTGAGGCAGGCAGGAGTCTGCCTTCTATTGCCAAGCTCCTTCCTTGGTGCCTGTTCAGCTATGCATAGTGCTGCTTGCCTCTCCTGTCCTCCAGTAACTGTTCCCTCTACCTAAATGGGGATCAGAAACCCTCCAGGAGACCTATTCTGACGAGGCATGTGAAGAAGAGGAAGAACCCGGGCCTGTGATTTGCTGAAGATGTGTGCTAGCCACAGGACCCTGGCAAATCCCCTTAAACCTCACTGAGCTCCAGTTCTCTCATCTGAAAATCAGGGAGTCAAGACAGCCTCCTCGCCCTGACAACCTCAAAGGCTCATTATGAAAATTAAACAAAAAAGGGCTTATCTCCAAAGCTATTCCTCATGTTCACACTCAGATATTCTGCCCTTTCTCAATACTCATATGCTCCCACAGTCACAGATGCTGGCTCAGTAATTGATTCCTGTTCCCCAGGAGAGGCTTCATGTTCCTCCCTCCAGTCCTCCTCAACTAGGAGGGCAGCTCCTGGAGGCGGGGCTGGGTCACAGTCACACTATCTGGTTTAAAGCTTTGCAGATAAGACGGCTTGATCCATCTGACCATCTGACCACCAGCTCCTTTGTAAAGAAGGAGAGGAAGGAGGGCACGGTTATATATCTGCCTAAGCTTCTTTCACCACATGAAGGCTACCTGGGCTCCCCAAATGTCTTAGTTTAACCTCTCCCTCCCCCAGCCCCCTTCTCCCCATTTCCCCTCCCCTGTTCACCTACATTCAGCAGCTGGTTGGCCTCCTTGCCGTCTTGGTTGACCCCATAATGAGCATTCTGCTGCAACCTGTCCACCTCCTTCCCGGCCTGGCCAGCAGCATGGTGGACACCTTGGCCAAGTTTCTCCGCTTCCTTTCCAGCCTGGCCAGCAGCGTGGTTGACCCCTTGGCCAAATTTCTCTGCCTCCTTCCCGGCCTGGTTGACCCCATCGTAGACCCCGTGGACTACTTTGTCTGCCTCCTTTCCGGCCTGTTCAACGGCATGGTGAACTCCCTGGCCAAAATGATCCACCTCCTTCCCAGCCTGGTTGACTCCATTGTGGACCCCTTGGACCACTTTGTCCCCCTCTTTCCCAGCCTGCCCTGCTGCATTGTGGACCCCCTGACCAAACTTCTCTGCCTCCTTCCAAGCCTCATTAACCTCATGGTGGACCCCATGGCCAAACTGTTCCACCTCCTTCCCAGCCTGGTTGACCCCAGGATGGACACCTTGGACTATTTTGTCTCCCTCCTTTTCAGCCTGTCCTGTGGCATCCTGCCCAAACCACCCCATCTCCTTCCCAGCCTGGTTAACCCCATGATGGACCCCTTGGACTATTTTGTCTCCTCCTTTCCCAGCCTGCCCAATAGCATGGTGGACCCCCTGGCCAAACTTCTCAGTCTCCTTCCAGGCCTCACCAATCCCATGATGAACACCCTGGCCAAACTTTTCTGCCTCGTTCCCAGCCTGCCCAGCGGCATGGTGGACCCCTTGGCCAAACTTGTCTGCTTCCTTCCAGGCCTCACCAATCCCATGGTGAATCCCCTGGCCAAATCTCCCTGCTTCGTTCCCAGCCTGCCCAGCGGCATGGTGAACCCCCTGGCCAAACCTCCCTGCCTCGTTCCCAGCCTGCCCAGCGGCATGGTGGACCCCCTGGCCAAACCTCCCTGCCTCGTTCCCAGCCTGCCCAGCGGCATGGTGGATCCCCTGGCCAAATCTCCCTGCCTCACTTCCCGCTTGGTTGACCCCATGATGGACCCCCTGAATCACTTTGTCTGCCTCCTTCCCAACCTGTCCAGCAGCGTTGTTGACCCCATGGATAAACTTCTCTGCTTCCTTTCCTGCTTGTCCGACGCCATTGTTGGTACCATGGGCTACCTTGTCCAAGCCGTGGTTGAGCCCCTGGATGTCCTTGTCCAGCTCCTTGCCGGCCTGGCTCCCCATGTTGCTAAGTCCATTAAAAACTTTCTCCACTTCCCTTCCAGCTTGAGTGATGCCATTATTGATGCCTTCCAGGGCCTTGCCCACCTCTCTCTCTGCATTGCTCAGCCCTCGGTTGATCCCTTCAATGACCTTCTCAATGGGGTCATCACTGGCTGCCCATCCAGGCAGGGCCCCCAAAAGCAGTAGGAGGGAGCAGGAACTGATCAAACTGGCAAGATGCATATTGTTGGGAGGGTGGGAAGGATGCAGAGAGGAACCAGCGAAGCCAAGCTGCTATTTATCTTCTGCTTCCCTCCCTCCTCTCCACCCCTCATGACTCAATTACCCCCGTGAGGCACTGACTTGGTCTCCAGTCAAGGAGGTATTTCCCAGGGAGATTTGAGGTTGAGCAATGAAGAGGAGGAGGAAGAGAAGGTGAGTCATGAATGAAGAATACTCACATGGCATCTTTGCTCCCTGCCCCGTTCAGGCCCTCCACCCCAGAGCCTAGATGTCTGCCCTTCCAACTACCTCCTCTTTTCATTCCTCACCCACTAGCCAGGCCTCCGCTCTTCCAACCCCACCTTCAATAACCCCCCATCTCTGGTTCCTCAGCTTCTGCACTCCTCTCAGGGGATCAAGGATCCAGCTTCCCAGCATTGAGATTCTAGAAAGATAAGAGGTACAGTCAGAGGGAGGTGAGCACTTTCAGGGAGATGAGGAAATCATCAGACCTTGTTCTTATTGTTCTTGTTGACCCACTCCTCACACACACACACACACTTTACTACGCTTCAGCCACAGGACTTCTCCCTGGCCTTCAAAAACACCAAGTTCATTCCTGCCGTATGGCCTTTGCCCTTGTTGTTCTCCCTAGTCCTGAAACACACCAAGCTCATTCCTGCTTTATGGCCTTTTCCCTCGCTATTCTGTCTGGTATCAGTACTTAGATCTTCACATGGCAGGTTCCTCCTCATTCTGTTTTTGGCTCAAATATTACCTTCTCAAAAAACTTTCCTGGCCATCCCCCAGTTATACTCTGTAATATCATCCTTTCGTTTTTATAACACTTAATTGATCCAAAACTACCTTTTTTATTGTCTGTCCCTTCTATCAGATTATAAACATCCAGAGGACAGGGCCTTTGTCTGTGTTAGTTACTGCTATATCCCCAACGTCTAGAACAGCCGTGGGCAAACTACGGCCCGTGGGCCGGATCCGGCCCGTTTGAAATGAATAAAACTAAAAAAAAAAAAAGACCGTACCCTTTTATGTAATGATGTTTACTTTGAATTTATATTAGTTCACACAAACACTCCATCCATGCTTTTGTTCCGGCCCTCCGGTCCAGTTTAAGAACCCATTGTAGCCCTCGAGTCAAAAAGTTTGCCCACCCCTGGTCTAGAACATTGCCTGGAGTTCAGTAGATATTTATAAATTGGACAAATGGATGGATTAGAAGAAGCCAAGGGAAGGATAGGCCTAAGTCTGAGTCTCAGAGGGTGCTGGGGGGGAAGGGTGCCTGGGTCCCCAGCGTAGCCCAGGGTCCCTTGGGAAGGGTTGCAGATTTTGGAGCCAGGATCACATTCTCATCACAGAACCCTAGCCTCCTGCCTCCCAGCCCTTGGGCAAGGGCAGGGGGCTGATTGCCATGAGCCGGGACAGGACGCAGTGCCTCCTGAAAAGCCGGTTGAGGCAGCCATGGGGAGGGGCTGGAGACCCAGAACAGCAGGAGACTGTCAGCCAGAACCTGGGCTGGGGGCCAGGAGCTCATTCTTCCTGACCTCCTCCCCCTGGAGACTCATAAGTCCCAACCTGAAGCCCCAGGTGTTGACATGGCAGCATGGGTTGGAGGAAGAAACTGCTAAGAGGTGGCCTAAGTGTGAAGAAAGGCATCAGGAGGAAGGGCAGGTAGTGGTTTGCAGATCTGTGGCAGAATATCTATCTGGAGCTAGTTTAGAGGGAGGCAGAGACCAGAAGGACAAGAGCCAGTGGGTGGGTACAGTTGGGTGAAGGGGTGTAAGATATTTGGGTTTTTGTGCCAAGGGGAGAGACTGAGAGAGGGGGTGGAGGTGGGATTGCAAGTGGGAAGGCCAGGCAGGAAGGAATGTGCAGGGTGTGAGCAAGTGGGGGTGGCAGAGTTATGTGTGTGGGTGCCCAGGTGTGGTGAGAATCTGCAAGTGTTTTGGGGCTTTGCTCAAACAAGGACAACACGGCCCACTTCCCTTGGTAGACCCAGGGTTCCACCCCAGATCCTGGACACTTGGCTCTATCCGGAACCAGGCATCCGAGACCCAGAGGCCCAGGAGCTTCTGCCTTCTCTGTGCTCTGCCTATAGAGGGTGACTAATTGTACCACCTCTCCACGCTTGAGTTCATCATATGTTTCCAAGTTTCACGCTCCAGGAACAAAGCCAAATCCCTGGGCAACCTCAGGTGTGGCTTTTCTGTCCAGTGCCTAAACGAGGGAGTTTCCCATGCCAGAAGATTGCTGGGTGGGGAGCTCCAGAATCCTAATCCTCCCTGAGATTGACAGGTGGGGTTTCTCCATTTCTCTTTCCACCCCTCTCTCTGCCCTACCCTACCATCTTCTGTCAGCCTCAGGCCCCCTCCTCAGTGCTCCATTCCCATTGGCCACTATTTGGTTTGGATTTTGGCATCTATCTCTGTGAGACTGGCCTGCCATCCTCTGCTGATTTGGGCTACATGGCTGTGTTGCTTTCCTAGAGTGAGGGGTGGAGCTTTCAGTCATGGAGCCATCACAGCTCCCCCAAAGAACTCCCAAGAAGTTTGCCATGAAAGTACAATGTGCATGACAATCCACAGGGCCTCTGAACATGCACCCTGCCCGGAGCCTCTCTGCACAGGAGCTGCTGCAGGCTTTCCAGCTCTGGCTAGGAGCTGCAACATTTCCTATAGTCTGGCAAATACTTGTTCCTGATACTCTGGCAGATCTTGTCATAAAATCAGGATCTGAAAAAAAAAATCAGGATCTGAATCAGCCTTTGGGATCTTAACTCTTTGTCTCTTGTTATTGACCTACTCAGATCTGCCATTTCTTTTTGTACCAATTTTGATCCTTTATATTCTCTAAGAAATGTTTTAATTTCATCAAGCATTTCATATTTATTATTGTAAAGTTGTACAAAATCAGTCCCTTTTCAGTCCTGGTTTTATTTGTATGGTCTTTCCACCCCTCTTGATCATACATGTAAAGTTCGTCCCCCTTTGTTTAATCGCTATCTTTTTTTTATTGAGGTCTCCCTATCTGTATGTACAGCCAATTTAGTAGTTTCATTTCCACCTCTCCCTGGCCATCCAAGCAGGAAGGTCTCACCCTCACCCTATCCCACGGCAGTTGCTTTCCCATGGAGGGTTGGGGAAGAGGTCATATCATTGTGCCCCTTCTTGTTTCCACACCTCTTTCTGGGATGGTGACTCCTTCCTGGCTCCAACCCCCACACCCCTAAGTCTTGGTCACAGTTGTGTGTCAACTGGCCCTGCAGGTGCCTGCCTGTGAGTCACAGATGTGCAAGAAAGCCCCCACCCACAGTGCTTTAGGGGAAGGGGACCATCTGTCCATGTGTTCTTCCCCAAACGTTTGTGGAAGCTTGCTTTGTGCCAGGCACAGTTCTAGGTGCTGGAGGCCCAGGGATGAACAAAATAAACAAGAATGCATGCCTTGTGGGAGACAATGAACAAGTAATCATAACTAGGTCATGACAAACTACAATTCAGTGGTTCTCAACCTTCTGGCCCTTTAAATACAGTTCCTCATGTTGTGACCCAACCATAAAATTGTTTTCATTGCTACTTCATAACTGTAATGTTGCTACTGTTCTGAATCGTAATGTAAATATCTGATATGCAGTATGGTCTTAGGCGACCCCTGTGAAAGGGTCGTTCGACCGCCAAAGGGGTAGCGACCCACAGGTTGAGAACAGCTGAACTACATGAAAAGCCACAAGGAAAAGAAAGGGGTTTAGAGACATCTGCTGTGAGTGAAGTATGGTAACAACCATCTCAGGTGGAAATTATAGTTTAACTTTAACCCTGCTGTTTGGCTTATGTACCTATTTGCTTTGTTTAACAATAGACAGGTTATTTTGACTTTCTGAATTATATAAATCATCCCATTCAATTAAATGCCTTATTGATTGTAATGTGAATATCCCATGGGTTGTGGTCATACTGGTCTTAGAAAGCACATTTTTCCTTCACCTGGGAAGGACAGCACAGTTATCCCAAGGTCAGAGGGCTCTAGACCCAAAACTGTAATTTAGATAAACCCAGGTTACCCAAGGGCTCTAGATAATGTGTTTATAACATGCTGTTTAAACTGCTTTTTGCAAACTAGGTTCCTCATTCCAGACCCGAGGGCTCTAGATAATGTATTTCTGTCAATTCAGTGACCCCGAGACCCAAAACTATAATTAACATGCTTAATTCTGCTTCTGTAAACTGCTTTTTGCGAGCCAGGTTCCTCATTCCAAACCCTGGGATGTAATCAATACCTTTGTGATTTTTTGCCTATATAACCTTGGAGCTGCGACCATCTTGTTACTATGAGATTTGGGGAATGGCCCCTCATAGTCCCGGATTGCAATAAATGTGACTCTTTAATTCGACTTCTTGAGGCGTCCTTCTGTGACAGGGTACATTACAACATGAGGAAAATAAAATAAAAGAATAGCATAACCTTTGAGTAGTTTTAGACATTGGAACATCTAACCTAGGATGGGAAGTTAGACAGGCTTCCTGAAGCGTGGGTACATTGAGGGGGTGAGGCTGATGGGAGGTAGTGACTGAGAAAGAAGAGAACTTTAGATGGGGAGTCAGGAGGATCTCTTTTAAAGGGTAACACCTGCCCTGACCCCTGGCCAGTGTGGCTCAGTTGGTTGAGCATCATCCAGTGCACCAAAAAGTCACTGGTTTGATTCCCTGTCAGGGCACATGCCCAGGTTGTGGGCTTGATGCCCTGTAGGGATGTGTGCAAGACAACCTATTGATATTTCTCTCTCTCCCTCTCCTTTCCTTTCTCTGTAAAATCAATAAAAACATGCTTTTAAAAAATAAATAAAAATAAAGGGCAACACCTGAGGGAAACCAAGAGGCAGCCAGCAGAGCTTCCAGGCATAAAGGAACAGCTGGGGTAACTATGGGGAACCGGGTGGATGTCAAGGAACAGCAGGGAGCCAGTGTGCTTAGGGAGAGGGAAGGGCTTTGAGGACCAGTGTAAAAAGTTGGATTCCATTCTAGACGCCAGCGGTGGCATTGGAATGGTGGTGCACAGTGTGCAGACAGCACACCTCCCCTGGAATGGGATGGGCCCTTTGCGCCACCGCCTCTGTGACATCACTGGACTGTGACGTCACGGCAGAAAGCTGGTGCCCCACTAGCCCCACGCCCCGCGTCGCAGTAACATCGCGGCAAGTCCCTGGGCAGCCAGGCCATTAAATTTTAGGAGGCCATGCGGAAGCGCGACATCGTCCTCACCAATGTCACCGTGGTCCAGCTGCTACGACGGCCATGCCCCGGTGAGGGAGGAGGCGGAGCCCGCTGGGGGAGGTTGGGGGGGTAGGGAGGAGGGGGTACAGCGCCCGCTGGGTCGGAGCCCCCTTCATAGAGCATCCGCAAAAGAGGGTCAGAAGGCGCGCTCTGGCCGACGGGCTCTACCATCCGGGCCGCTTTCCTCCCACCCTCCAGCGACCCCTCCCCAGTCGGCCACCAGAGTTTGCTGCCAAGTGGTTTTCATGGCGATAGTGGAAGGGAGGATGGGCTGGGCGCCTCGCGCGCGCGTGGTGGAAGGATAGAAGCAGGGGCCGGGACGGAACCTGGGGCCGAGTTTGAGGGGGCATCTCTGAGGACAGCCGCTGGGTTGAGAAGCTCGGCGAGGGAGGTTTCACCTAAAACTGACGCTCCCGTCGCCCAGGGCGGAAGGGCCGCGGGGAGTTGGTGGGCTCCCTCCCGGTGTTGCACCCAGCGAGGATACTTGCCCCTCCCGGGGCTGTGCCCAGCGCTTCACAAGCGTGCACTTACTGAAGCCTCGCAACCACATAGCGAGGTCAGCGTATGTACCGTCCGCTTGTCAAAGAGCGCAAACCGCTTCCCGTGGGTCTCTCACTGGAATCGTAGAGTTGGGACTCGGAGTCCCGCTCGCGGCCACTGGGCAGCCCTACTTGACCCAGTCGGAAGTGCGCGCGTGCGCACACACACTCCAACCCAAGGAACCCAGGTCTTCGGGAGGCCACCCGTTCCCTCCCGGCCTCCTCACTGACCGCAGGGGAGTGGGGGTGAGAAACAGCCAGGAAGCTCCTCCCCAAGGGGCTCGGCGTGGCCCGGAACCCGCTGCCTGCTGCAGGTGCCCGGCTCTGTGCCCTCGGGCCTCGGTTTTCCCTTTGTCAAGTGGATTTGTAGCATCTGTCTCACAGGATTCTGAGCCCATGAACTGGAGCTCAGCACAGCACCTGGCGTCACCGTAATTGGGAGAGCGCACCTGTGACAGTGTTTCACCTACGGAAGAAGCTCCGCTGGGCTCCTCCCGCTCAGTGCAGCAGCTTTCCTCCAGCCCCGTACCGCACCCCTAGAATGGAGGGGAAGGCTGAGTTTTAGGTAGAGTAGATTCATGCCTACTCTTAATCCAGATGGACAAATCTCCTGTTATAGCAGGAACAGAACCCCAAGGAATGCAAACATCCTAAGGTCACCAATAATCACAGGGCCTCTGCCACCAATAAAGACTAATACTTTTATGAACTTGTACTAACTGCAAACACCCACAGCCCAGCCTCAGGCCACAAGGTCTGTGGCAGCCAGAGAGGTCAGGGAGACAACAGGCCAGCTGGCCCCTGGCTCCTAGCCACACCACCTCCCAGGTGCTTTTGATTCTAGTAGTGCCAAAGCCATCTCCCACCTTCATCCTCGGGCCTCTCCATCCCCTTCTCTCTCCCTTTCCTCATGAATACGTAGTATCAGACTTCCTCCCCTGTATTAAAATCAGCACTACTGGACCTTGAGATCTCACCGAGTCCTCCCAAAAGCCCCCAAGGAGAGGGTCAGATGTGATGACAGGAAACAAGTCAGAGAGGTTCATTAACTTGCACAAGGCCAGATGCCAAGTAGCTGGGGCAGGGATGACAACCGTGCCTGATCCCCAGTATGAAGCCCTCTGCCAGGCAGATCCCTGACTGCTCTCTCCACATCTCCCCTCCTCTCAAGTCTTCACCTGGAGCTCAGATGGCACACCTCCAAGCACAGATGTTCAAATATGCAGTAAGGGAGTGGGAGTATGTTTAGAGAGCCGGAAGCTGATAAAGATCTCCATTTGTTTCATGTCCTGGTATATCTGTATTTCCTAAACTTCTCTGAGGGTAAGAATCACCTGAAGTGCTTAGAAACACTTGAGCCTCAGAACAGACCTACTGAGTCAGATTTCCCTAGGAGGCACTTTCTGGATGATGTTTATCAGAACAGTTTGGGGACCAGTGGGCTACATGAATTATCAGACCATTTGGGAAAAGGCCTTTGAAATACTAATGTATGCAGAATGTTCCCAGACTATTGTCATAAGCGCTCCATATATTATTACTTCATTTAATCCTCACAGTGACCCTCTGAGAGTACTATTATCTCCATTTTAGAAAGGAGGAAACTGACTCAGAGTGTCATCCCAAGCAACTGTTAAAGATACACAGTACCCACTGAATTAGAATCACCAGGGAAGGGGCCCTGGCATTGATATTTTAAAGCAAGCCCATCCTCTGTTCATTTTGTGGATCAGGTAGGTTTGGGAAACACAGCTCATTTTCTCACTGTGATGGTGCAGTTCATTGCCACCCCCACTCCTTCCAACAGTAACCAGACCACCACCACCACCACCCAAAGTTGAGCCAGAGCCAGAGCCAGAGCCAGAGCCAGAGCCAGAGCCAGAGCCAGAGCCAGTGGCAGAGCCAGAACCAGAACCAGAGCCAGAGCCTATCAAGGAGGAAGCCCCACCTCCTCCACCTCCACCACCTCCACCACCTCCACCACCTCCTCCACCTCCTCCTCCACCTCAGAAGGTTCCTGTGGTTCGGGAACTGACTGTTGGCATCAATGGGTGAGTCAGCCCTGGCCTCTGAGCCTTCCTGAAGCCATAGGGCCCAGGCATTCCTCCAGTTACTGAATAGGGCATCTCCACATTTCACACCATCAATGCTTTCATTCTGTCCACCTTGGAGAATGGGGGGGAGGGGCGGGGAGTAGACAGGGCTTTGCCCCCTAAGAGAGCTCACATTCTGGTGGGAAAACAACAATCAAATAAGGACATTTGGTTTGGTGATGTGTGAATGAACAGTATGAAGTATAGTAAGACTGGAGAGGCCAGTGTTAGCTGGGGTGTCAGGAAAGACCTCTGGGAGGTGACACTGGAGTGAGGCCTGAGTGGCAGCTGTTCAGCAAGCAATGGCTCGGGGGAACAGGTGGCACAGCACAGTATGCAAAGGACAGGCAGGAATTCAGTGCTGGTGTGGAGCAAGCAAGGCAGAAGAGGAAGGAGTGTGGTGGAAAGCAGACGGGCCTCGTAAGCCATGGTAAGGAATTTGGATCTAGTTTTACTGATAGAGCTGTAGAGGCTTTCAGGCCAAGAGACGTAATCGGGCTGACGTTCTTTAAGATCCATCCAACTACACGATTAGGAATGGGGTAAAGAATGGATGGGTGAGGAAGCAGGCAAATCAGTTAAGCTGGTGAGATCATGAGCAAGATAATAGCTGCCTGCAAAGGGTTGGTTGCCTTCTTCCCCGAGATCGAGTCGTCCGACCCAGTCCCCTTGAGAAGCCTCCTGCCACCCCCTTCTTTCCTGTCCCCTCCTCTGCCTGCTGGCTGAGGATTCTGAAGACAACCCCACAACCCGTCCTGGACAGATTTGGACGTATCGGTCGCCTGGTGCTGCGAGCCTGCATGCAGAAAGGCGTTAAGGTGGTGGCAGTGAATGATCCATTCATTGACCCGGAATACATGGTGAGTAGCAGGTAAAGGGTAGGATCGGGGTTTCAGGGGTGCTCTCTGGGAGGTTCTCAGGTGCAATATGAAACCTTCACCAAGGCAGGGATTCCTTAGGGATGGTTGCTCCCCCACCCCTGCCACCCCCATGATCAGGAGCCATTCTGTCTCCCACAGGTGTACATGTTTAAGTATGACTCCACCCATGGCCGATACAAGGGGACTGTGGAATACAAGAATGGACGGCTGGTTGTGGATAAACAGGAGATCAGTGTCTTCCAGTGGTAAGGGCAGCTGTCTGATGCATGCCTGCAACACATTAATGGAGGGGGTGTAAAGATGACATGAATGGGATCCCAGCCTCTCCTTGGGATTCATAACCCCTCAGCATGTATGTCTCTCAGTACTGGTTGGAAGAGGGGGGTCTCAGAGAAGTCTGTGACTGCTAAAATGGTTAGGAAGCACTAACTTAGAAAGATGCCCCACTATACTCAGGAATACTTTTGATTTAATGCACATTTACAAGTTTTCGCACAGGCATATCAATTCAACATGTCTAAAACTCACCTCTTGATTCTCCATCAACCCCCAAACCTATTCATCTCCCTTCCCACGAAGCGACATCGACATATAGCCAAGTGCTTCCACTCGGTTCCTACACAGCAACCACAGAGGCCTTTTTAAAATGTCAACTGGGCCCGACATCGCCATCTGGCCAAGTGCTTCTACTCAGTTCCTACACAGCAACCACAGAGGCCTTTTTAAAATGTCAACTAGGCCGTTACTCCCCTACTTAAACCCTCCCATCACCCCACAAATAAAATCCCAGCTCCTGATAGGGCCCCGCAAGCACCATGAGCCCTACGCCTGAGCCTTCTAATATAACCTCAGCCACACTGGCCATCCACCTCTTGGCCCCATTTCACATAGTTCTCATTGATGTTAATTTTCCTCCATTTAAAGATATGTCCAGAATCTGCAAATCAAAAGCATTAGATGTTTAATATGCTCCAAAGACATCAAGAAAACTAAAAATTTATAAAATGGGAAAGTCTACTTCATATTTCTAATGTAAATTATTGGCCACTGCTAGCCCCGATTTGACATACACTTGTGCTTGCATGCTCACAAGCCTTCCCAGCGCTCCTCCCAGCAGGTCCACTCCCAGCCCCTCTCATTTACTGGGGTGTAGGGAGTGTGAATAAAAGAGGGACAAGGAAGGATTGTGGTTAGGTGGTCAGGGTTGGGAAGGAGGGGATGGAGGTGGGGACTGGAACATCAGTAAGAGAAGCTTCTTGACCCAAGTTTGAAATCATAACCAAAAACAATTCCGGCACAGAGGTCATTACTTAGACATACCATGTCCTCTCCTTCAACCTGGGCACCGTCATTCCTGCCACTTGCAGCATTCTCCCCCATTGTGCACCCCTACTCAGGTTCTGCCTTGTCAGGTCACTGCAGTGGTTATTCCCCCCACCACCCCACTCTGTCACTGCACTGTGGGTGTTTTCCAGGCACAAAAGTGATGTTGCTTTTGTGTGTACTTTACCCTGCTCCACCCTTTCTAGACAGGCGACCTTGGGCTAAGGAAGTGAATTTCCTTGAGCCTGTTTCTTCATGTAACTGATGGGGATGGGTATCAGATCCATGGCAGGCAGCACAGCCAAAGTTAACAGGCATGTGGGGAGCACTGCGAAGGGCATTTTCCCACAAGGCCTCCTTGCAGGAAGAATCCTGTCAGTTTGTCACCACTATTGCTTTGGCACCTATAGTGCAGGTCCTGGCTCTGGGTAAACTCACAACTTCCTTGATGAATGAATGGAATCCTCAAAACAAGACCCTGCGCAGGAAGGCAGGGCCCAACAGTCTAGGGAAAAGGGCTGGGGTCTCCTGAGGTGCCAACTTAACAACTGTTGCAGAGGAGTTTGAGTTACCCTCCCTCCCCAAATAAGAAGGCAGGAGATGGGGGGCCTCAGAGAAGAGGTAATTGAGCCAAATGATGAAAAGTGTGACCTGACAGAGCAGATGACCAGGAAAAGAGAACCATGCGTGGTGGCCCAGGGAGAGGAAGCTACTCATTTGTTCCTTTAATCTGGTATGCAGCCAGTACAGATCCTAGGACCAGCCTGCCTATACTTCCAGCCAGCTCTCTCTCCTACCCCTTCACCTCTGCCCTGGCTTCTCTACAAAATGCCAATAAGGCATTTAACCCTCAGGGTATAAGGGTTAAATGATTCAGTGAAGGCAAAGCACTTAGAACATGGGCACATGGCAGGTGTTCAGTAAACATGTGTAGGATGGCTAATAAAAAATAACCCTACAAACACTGTCTGAACCCCTTTGGAGGGAGCAGGCTCAATGACGAAACAGACACAACCCTTTTGCCACAAAGCGGTCTAAAAGATGAGACAGATGCTAACAAAAAATCACAAAAGCGAATACTGCAGTTGTGATAAGTCCTGTGAAGAAGACTCATATACAAACCAAGTAGAAAACAGCAATATTTGTTCAAATGCAAACGTTAAATAAACTATCAAGTAAAAATATAAATTTATAAAAGTGGAAACCAAAAAGGCCTTGACCTTTCTAATGTAAAACACTAACCACTGCTGACCCCAGGGTAGCCTGAGGCTACAGTTACAGGCCTCTCCCCCATTGCTCCCAGGATGTAGTGCCTGTCTTCAGGGACTTGCTCAGCCTCTGGCAGTAGGCTTCCGGTGGCAGAAGCTGAGTGCTAGAGACCAGAGGCAAGGAGGGCCATGGTGAGGTTGTGAGGGCAGGGAATCAGAAGCAGTGCAGCAGGCCTCGCCCTTCTGGAGTCTACATTCTAGGCATAAAAAGGGCCTGACCTGGTTGGCAGTAGTCAGGGGTGGTCCCCTGGAGACAGAGAGTGAATGAGCCTGAGTAGGGGAGGTGGCAACTTGTATATACTGGGGCATAGCAAAGGAAGGGCAGTCAAGGTAAGTGGCCCACAAGAGCTGCTCGAAATGTATCAGGATAGGAACTGCAGGGCTGGGAGTCAGATCTCCTGCCTCAGAATCTTTGCACTTGGTCTGGAACGCTTTTCCCCCAAGTGGCCATATATCTGTCCTCACCTCCTCCAATTCTTTACCTCAGCCTTCCTCCTCAGCAAGATGCCAACAGGCAAGACTAGCAGGGTCAAATCCACCTGGGATAACTAGGTATGTGTGGGGTGGGGAGAACAGACGGTTACAGGCCAGGTGGGAAGGTGTCTCGTCAGCCTTTCAAACAGTAAAGGCCAGGGACTATGAAGGCAAGGCCATGCAAGGGAGGCTGATACACAGCCCTGCCACCTCTCCATAGCAAGCAGCCCAAAGAGATCCCCTGGAAGTCTGTCGGAAGCCCCTTTGTAGTGGAGTCCACAGGAGTGTACCTGTCCCAAGAGGAAGCTTCCGTAAGTGGGGGAGAAGTGGGCAGGGCTGGCCAGGGGGTGTGACACTCAAAGCATCTCATCAATTCATGACACCAGTGCTCCTTCCTCCTTCCCTAGAACCACATCCAGGCAGGTGCCTTACGTGTGGTCATCAGCGCACCCTCACCAGATGCGCCCATGTTTGTCATGGGGGTGAATGAAAAGGACTATAATCCTGATTCCATGAAAGTTGTCAGGTAACGGGCAGCAACATCCAGAAGTGGGTGGGTGATGTCCAGAGAACATGCCAGCCTGTGATGGGAAGGGATCAGACTCAGCCTCCCCCTCCCCCAACCGCCACTCCCACTGGTGCTTCTTTCACATCCCCATCTGCTTCTCCCTCCCAAAGTCTTAACAGCCACCATGTTAACATCCCCCTGGACCTGTTAAAAATGCACAACTTCTAGAGAATATGCTTGGGGAGCTTCCCCCGGCTGCACCTCCAGTGCCTCCTTCAGTCTGAAGGCATCCCCAATGATCTTTCTCATCCCCATCCTGACTTTTCACAAATCCGAGCCTCTGAGCATCTCCCCAAAATGAGGTAAGCGTGGAAGGTGGCTCTGACACTCACCTCACAGTTCCCTTGCATACCGGGCTGTTTCAGCAATGCATCCTGCACCACCAACTGCCTGGCCCCCCTTGCCAAGGTCATTCATGAGCGATTCGGGATTGTGGAAGGACTGATGGTGAGTTGGGGAGAGGGCTGGGCAGGATGGATGGCAGGGAACCTGTACCGCTTCCTCTCAGGATTTGCTTAGTGTGTGACTTTAATAGAAAGAGGCTGGTTTCAAGAGGAAAGGCCCGCCAGTGGTAGAGTCTTTTAAAATTCTGGGTAACTCTCGGCAAGGCTGAACCCCAGCTTGCAGGTGTCCCTCCAGTGGTCTGTGGTGGCCCCACAACCTCCACACCTGGCTCATCACTTCAGACCTAAAATAAAGAGGCACAGGAACTTAGGAGCAGGAAGGCCTCACCTCAGCCCTCTTCTTCCCCAAGACCACAGTCCATTCCTACACGGCCACCCAGAAGACAGTGGATGGGCCATCCAAGAAGGCCTGGCGAGACGGACGAGGAGCTCACCAGAACATCATCCCAGCCTCTACAGGGGCTGCCAAGGCCGTGGGCAAAGTCATCCCAGACCTCAAAGGGTATGAGGGCAGAAAGCTGCAACCAGGGTGGGAGGCACACCCTGGGAAGAGCAGACGGGCCCCAATCCTTGAAGTATCTAATGAGAGGAAGGTGGAGGTGAGGGGGTAGATGGACAAGTCCTTGGGTTCTGACTTCCACCTCGATGTGGGACTGTCCAGGAAGCTGACAGGAATGGCGTTCCGGGTACCAACCCCAGACGTGTCTGTCGTGGACCTGACCTGCCGCCTAGCCCGGCCGACCACATACTCCGCCATCAAGGATGCCATAAAAGCAGCAGCCAAGGGGCCAATGGCTGGCATACTTGCCTACACGGAGGATGAGGTAGGGACTGAGGAGAAGAGACCCTGGGAGGAACCCTCTGGGGAGAGACCGTGACTTCCCACTTGCCAAGGAGCTGCTCCCAACGTATCAAGATAGGAACTGCAGGGCTGGGAGAGTCAGATCTCCTGCCTCAGAATCTATGCACTTGCTGCTCCTTTGGTCTGGAAAACTTTCCCCCCAAGTGGCCATGTATCTGTCCTCACCTCCTCCAATTCTTTACCTCAGCCTCCCTCCCTCCTCAGCAAGGTGTTCTTTTTGTGGCCCCTCTCTTCACCTGAAATTCCATTTCAGTCACTGCTGGTCCTGCTAGCACGTGCACTCCAAGAAGGCAAGGATTGGGGGCTATCTTTTCACTTACACAGCTCCAGCCATCTTCCCAGGGCCTGGCACACAGCAGATGCTCAATACATGCTTCCTGAACAAGACAAAATATACCATTTTTCAACACTTGCTCAGGGCAGGCCATGGGCAGGTACCTTCCCTGTGAAAAACAGATGTCACTGTCCCTGTGCTCCCAGTAGTACCATCTCTGGTGCTGTCTCCCTGGTTTAGCTCCTTGCAAGGCCACCCTCACACAGCCACCAGGACCTCTTGTTCCCCTCCCTCCCCCCTGCAGAAAACCTTCCTGTGGCCTTCCACCACACCAGGGCCACAACCCTCCCCTCTGCGCTGCAGCTCCTCCTGCCTCAGATCTGCTGAGGGCCTGAGTCAGCCAGACCCAGCCTCCTAGCCATCCAGACCCAGCCTTGTGCCTCCACCTGGGGCCTCTGTGCCAGCCCGTTCCAAGTGCCTGAATTATCCCCAGGAAATGATATTTATTGGTGCAGCATCAGGGTGTTCGTGGTCTGTGTCCTTTGGCCAGTCCCCCACCAGCAAAGCCCCCAGGTGCCTTCTTTATATCCCATCCCCACAGCCTGGACACAGTAGGACTCCATCAGATGTCGTAGACGAATGCATAGCCAATATGCCTGAGTCAGAACCTGGCCTCCTGGAGGTCTCTGCTCTGCGACCCAAACTTACCTCAGAAATTCTGGCACCCAGGTTGTCTCTACGGACTTTATCGGCGATACCAACTCTTCCGTCTTCGATGCTAAAGCCGGCATCGCGCTCAACGACAACTTCGTGAAGCTCATTTCCTGGTACGGAGGGGAGGGGTCACAGAACGCGGGGAGCTGGGGGTAACGGGGAGGGACCCCCTGACCCTCCACGCCCTCCCCAGGTACGACAATGAATACGGCTACAGCCACCGGGTGGTGGACCTCCTCCGGTACATGTTCAGCCGAGACAAGTGAAGTGCGACAGCCCCTCCACTCCCCTGTGCTCCCTGCCCAGAACCTCCACCTCCCGCAGAGGGGAGGCGCCCGGCGCGCGGCCGCC